GCTTGAGCCACAGGTGCCAAGCCAGAAGATGTAATTTTTGAAAGATAAAATTTGCAACTGCAACAATTATAAGGTACCTGGGTATATAACACAAAATATACAATATTTTCACAAAAAATTTAAGAAACTTTGGTGACAGACATGAAGGAAGACCAAACGAAATGAGAAATACATCATGGTCATAGATGAGAGAAGTTGACATAAAACAAAGGATGTTCCTAAACTAGGCTGAGCCCAGAGGCTCATGCCTGTAATTCTAGCACTCTGGGAGGCTGAGGCAGGTGGAGTGCTTGAGCTCAGGAGTTAAAAAAATCCAGTTTGAGGCTTGGCGCTCAAAGCACAGTGGTTATGGTGCCAATCACATACACCAAGGTTGGTGTGTTAGAACCCAGCCCAGGCCAGCTAAACAATAATGACAACTGCAATAAAAATAAAATAAATAAATAAATAGCTGGGCATTGTAGTGGGCACCTGCAGTCCCAGATACTTGGGGGAAGCTGAGGCAAGAGAATCGTGTAAGCCCAAGAGTTTGAGGTTGTTGTGAGCTGAGATGCCACCAGACTCTACAGAGGGCAACATAGTGAGACTTTGTCTCAAAGAAAAAAAGACCAGTGTGAGCAAGGGCAAGACTCTGTCTCTACTAAAAATAGAGAAACTAGCTGAGCATTGTGGTGGGTGCCTAAAGTCTCAGCTGCTCAGGAGGATAAGGCAGGAAGATCTCCTGAGCCCAGGAGTTTGAGGTTGATGTGAGCTATGATGATATCGCATTCTAACCAGGTAACAGAGTGAGGCTTTGTCTCAAAAAAAAAAAAAAAAAAGAAAAAGGTAAATTGTAAAAAGCTGCAAAACCTAGATATAAATGTAGGACTATAGCGGTGAGAGAAATAAGAGATGAACTTTAAGAGAAGAGATTCCAAAGCCAGGAGCGGTGGTTTACATCTGTAATCCTAGCACTCTGGGAGGCCAAGGTGGGTGGATGAACTCAGGAGTTTGTGACTAGCCTGAGTTAGAGCAAGACCCCATCTCTGAAAATAGCCGGGTGTGTGGCAGGCACCTATAGTCCCAGCTACCTGGGAGGCTGAGGCAAGAGGATCACTTGAGCCTAAGAGTTTGAGATATGACGTGAGATATGTCACATATGTCACATTGCTGTGAGATTATGATGCCATGGCACTCCACCAAGGGTGACAAAGTGAGATTCTGTCTCAAAAAGAAAAAAAAAATTTTTCTTTCTATAGATTCAATGAATTCCCAATAAAATCCCAAAAGAGTTCTTTTTTTTTTTGAGACGGAGCCTCAAGCTGTCCCCCTGGGTAGAGTGCCGTAGCATCACAGCTCACAGCAAACTCCAACTCCTGGGCTCAAGCAAGTCTCCTGCCTCAGCCTCCCAAGTAGCTGGGACTACAGGCCCCTGCCACAATGCCTGGCCATTTTTTTGGTTGCAGCCATCATTGTTGTTTGGCGGGCCCGGGCTGGGGATTCGAACCCGTCACCTTAGGTGTATGTGGCTGGCGCCTTAGCCGCTTGAGCCACAGGCGCCAAGCCAAGAGTTCTTTATAGAAATAAAACAATCTGACCCTAAGATCAATGTGTGAGAGCTTTTTTAAAGGATCAAGAGTAAACAAGACATTCTAAAGTAGAATAAGTAAAGATATGCCCTGATTAGGTCTTATAAAACAAAAGTAATCAAAATAGTATGATATTAACATCAGGGAAAATGACAGAGATGGGGAAATTCAGCTTGAGGAAAAAACCCCTACTTAATAAATATGTTTACACACTTATCTAGATCACTAGATACAATTAAATGTTCACTATTTATAAAATTAAAATTTCAGATGAATTAAAGATCTAACCGTGAAAAAACAAATTGTAAGCACACATAAGTCTTAGGATAAATACTTGAGAGAAAATTTTCATTTCATCAGGATAGAGATGGTCCATAAACTAGTCTAGATGAAGGGAAAATGTCTCTAAAGTAAATGCAATTTATAAAAGCCTTTAATACCTCATAAATATGAGGAACTAAAATCTGTTAAAAAGAAAAAAGACTAGTGACCTAATAGAAAATGAGGAAGGAACATGAATAAACAATTCTTAAAGGGAGAAACCTAAACAGCTTTTAAAGGATGCTCAAACTCTACATATATCAGGAAATGCAGATTTAAATATGGAGATACCATTTCAAAAAATCAGAGTGGCAAAATTTTTGTATCTATTATCTTACATCTATTATTTAATACTAAAAAATGTTGTTGAGGCTCCTCTTGCCTAGAAAAATTGCATATGAAACAATGTAAAACTTTGATCATTCTCTTATTTATCAATTATGTATAAGCTAAATACATTACAGAAAAACTGTTAGAACAGATGCTACATAAATAGAGTAGAATGCATATACTCTAACATCCACCAAATTACTTTTCTGTATGTATTCTGTAGAGAAACTCTTGTACACAGCCATAAGGAGATGGAAACACCACTAATGTTAAGTGCAAAATTGAAAACCATCTACTCTTTTTTTTTTGAGACACAGCCTCAAGCTATCCCCCTGGGTAGAGTGCTGTGGCATCACAGCTCACAGCAACCTCCAACTCCTAGGCTCTAGTGATCTTCCTGCCTCAGCCTCCCAAGTAGCTGGGACCATAGGCATACCTCACTGCATCCAGCTAACTGTTCTATTTTGGGGGGAGCTGGAGTCTTACTCTTGTTCAGGCTGGTCTTGAACTCTTGACAACTCAAGTGAACCCCCTCCCCAAAGTGCTAGAATTATAGGCATGAGCCACAGTGCTTGGCCTATTTATGTAGAATTTAAAACTTAAAACTATAGTATTATGGCGGACATACAAATATCAGAAAATGGCTTGGCGCCTGTGGCTCAAGTGGCTAAGGTGCCAGCCACATACACCTAAGGTGGCGGGTTTGAATCCAACCCGGGCTTGCCAAAACAACAATGACGGCTGCAACATAGCCGGGTGTTGTGGCGGGCGCCTGTGGTCCCAGCTATTTGGGAGGCTGAGGCAGGAGACTCGCTTGAGCCCAGGAGTTGGAGGTTGCTGTAAGCTGTGATGCCACAGCACTCTACCCAGGAGGACAGCTTGAGGCTCTGTCTCAAAAAAAAAAAATCAGAAAATACAAAATTATACATGGTTAACAGTTTGCACCAACTTCAGGATAGTGCTTATCTTCAGAGATATAGAGAGGGTGATGGAATAGGAGAGATTTTTGCTATATCTATAAATTTTATTTCTTAGGGTAAAAAAACCCTAGTAAACTCAACCAAATATTAATACTAAGTAATACTAATTACAGAGATTGCTAAAATATTTTCTGTATACTTGAAAAGAATATCTTACCTTTGCTCAACTCTGTGTCTTTGTGGACTTCTATCATATTGGCTGGTGTACACTGAAGTACTTCAGGAGACAGAACCTCAGAATGCAATGTTAACTCAGCAGAGAAATCCTGGGATCCATCACTATAGTCCACAGATCCTGATAATGTTCTGCTTAATTAAAACATATCCTTTATAACAAACTAGATAACAAGGCAATAAAATTAATTCTGAGATCTATAATAAATAACCACTTACACAGAGAAATCATTCTGTTTGAGAATTTCCTGAAGTCTCTTCTGAAATTTTTTTTCACTTTCTGTTGCTGGCATAAACCTGCGATCTTTGAATTTTAAAAGTGTGTTAAAAAAGGTAGACAGCAAATGAATATAATATTTTCCATTCTCCTAAAGTAGCTTTTAAAGTGTAGCAATTTCCTATCTTTCTTTAGCCACATATAACACCACCTAAATGTAATCATATTATAGAATCAAATAAAGGAGAATGACTGTTACAAAAGTTATAAATTAGACACTTAAATCCAGTACAAAAGTAAGTTCTATAATAACCTAAATCTGAAACAGAAAATCATTGTTCTCTACCTAAAGTATATTATATACCCTGAAACTAGAAATTTTTCCTTTATAAAACATTTTTATTTTAAAAGTCAGTCAAAATTCACTGAAACATTTACAGTACCCAAGACATTATAAGAAACATTTTAAAATTTAATTGAAGTTCAACACAGGCTTACTGCTATATTTCAAATATATTTGTTTTTGAATTATGTCACTTATACTTTTACTTTAATTTTTAAAAATGTCTTGTATGTTTGGTATTATTTAAACTGCCTCAAATTCTTTATGAATATAGCAGCATTTAATAATAAATGAGTATTTTTCAGGGCTGTATTTGATGAACAAAGTGAGTTCATATGATATATCCAGAAAAAAAATTAGGGGCAATATTTCGTGGGCTGTATTTTTCAAGTATAATGAACTAAACAGTGTTCCTTAAGCTGGGATTCCTGATCTTCTGTGAGTTTTTAAAAACTCATTTGGAAATACAGAAGACTAGAACATACTAGTGGGTAAAAAAGTGGCACAAGAGGACAGATGTGATGAAAACCAAGACAGTGAAGATGTAAATTTCTCATGAAAGAGAGACAATAGATTACACTTTGGAGATAGTTGTAAAAATAAATAATTACTAGTTGCATCATAATGACAAAAGGAAGAATACATTAAAAATTTAAAGGTAATTTGAAAAGTATAATCTGAAGTCAAAGTTGAAAAATTCAATGGCTTAAACTTTTCTATTAAAATATTTAGTTTATATCACACTGGTTAACATAAACCTCATCTCGTTTACTTAATTATTGTGTTAAGACATTTATATTCTATACTTGATAAATCTGACAAGTACCCTTGCACTATGCACCATAAGTATGATTCCTCCATTCATGATCTATGCATTTATAATTTAATAAAAAAAAAAAATTAAAAATAAATAAATAAATAAAATACTTCGTTAAAAAAAAAATCATTGGGGGTGGCATCTGTGGCTCAAGGAGTCGGGCCCCATATACCGGAGATAGTGGGTTCAAACTCGGCCTCAGTCAAAAACTGCAAAAAAAAAAGTCATTGGAGTACCACTCAGTGTATACCTTGTGATTCAGGTTGACTAATTTGAGAGGTTTCATTTCTGTTTCTTCGCCGTTGCTTTTCATCTTCCCATATGGCCTGTAGACCAGGGTTTACACCAATTTGAGCTGTAATCACAACAATACTTCAGTACAAGGATCAAAGTGAAAAATTCTTGCTTAAAAAAATTTAAACTTTTCTTTAAAAAAAATTATCTCTAAAAAAAAATCATCTATTTTGTGAAATAAAATGGATAAACTACCCCAACCTAAATTTATTATGTTACTCCCTTTTAGTTTTCTTCCTACTAGTTCCACAAATCCAGCAAGTGAATAAAATTCAAACATTTGAGGACAGCCAATAGACTTTAGAGTCTCCTCCCTGGTATAGAATCTGAATATTTAAAAATTACAAGGCAGAGTATATTAAATAATTTTATATATTGGTTAATTCTCTTTAGTTTTTTCACTTGTGTGCAAACTTCTATGCAAACTTACTCATATGAATGAAAATGTAAACCAATGATCATCTCATCAGAAGTACAGAAGCAATCTTCATAATATTTTGTAAATATTTGTATTTAGTATTTTACATTCATCTTTTATAATATCTTAGTTCCCTAGTAATGTTTTCTTCTTTATTTTTTCCATTGTACTTTAGTCATTAATGTTTTTAAAAATAAAAACATATATTAGGAATAATTGCGTATGTACCTTCAACGTCCAGCCGATTTAAGATGTCAGCGGCTACAGCATCGACTTCTAATTCACATGTACTCTGTGGTTCAACACCCTCCAATATTAAAGAGCTGTAATGAAAAGATATATTTAAAAAAAACACAATAATTATGTTAGAACAAATTTTGTAAGTTTTTTTAACTTATACGATATTTTATATTTAGGTAAAACATAACCAAAAACCTGAGAAAAATACAAAACGTAACAACTCTATTTTTTTTTTTAGACAGAGCTTCAAGCTATCCCCCTGGGTAGAGCGCTGTGGCATCACAGCTCACAGCAACCTCCAACTCCTGGGCTCAAGTGAGTCTCCTACCTCAGCCTCCCAAGTAGCTGGGACCATAGGCGCCCGCCACAGTGCCCAGCTGTTTTTTGGTTGCAGCCATCATTGTTGTTTGGCGGGCCCAGGCTGGATTCAAACTCACCACTTTAGGTGTATGTGGCTGGCACCTTAGCCACTTGAGCCACAGGTGCCGAGCCAACAACTCTATTGAGATCTTTTTGCAGTATATTCTACACATTTTGATTCACTATGTTTTAGCATGTGGTTGTACCCAGGGCAGAATGGGATAGGATAGTAGAGGGATATAGCAAAAACCATAAGCATCTGAAATCAGATGCCTAAAAAGATCCTCTTCAGTAATCAAAAAAAGAAGAGAGAGCATGCAACAAGAGCTAAGAGAAAGTGAGCACACCAAGAAGTGGGCAAATGATGATACTCATTGTTCTTTCTGCCCTCAACTATTGCTGAGCTGACAAAGGCTTTAAAATTCTTCATTAACTATGGAATTAATAAACCACATGAATGTTCAACAGTGCGATTGTAGCTAGGAAAAGTAGTGAGACCAGAAGGTCATTAATTATTTTTTTTAGACAGAGTTTCACTATGTCACCAAGGCTAGATTTTGGGGCTCAAGTAATCTTTCCTCCTCAGCCTGTAAGTATAATTTTTATAAGAACTAAAAAGGGTTGTTTCCCACTAATGCTCTTTGACTCAAAAGAGAACTAGGAAGACATCACATAGTTTTCTCTGCTTGAGAGAATGAACAGATAGCATCTATAGTATGGACCCAAGTTTAGTCATTCCAAATCTAGATCTCGCACTAAAATGAACACCAAATGAAAGAGGAGATCACTATTTTTACTTTAAAGTGGGTGATAGGGCTCGGTGCCTGTAGCTCAATAGTTAGGGCACCCACTACATACACGGGGGCTGGCAGGTTCGAACCCAGCCTGGGCCTGCTAAACAACAATGACAACAACAACAAAAAAATAGCTGGGCATTGTAGCGGGCACTTGTAGTCCCAGCTACTTGGGAGGCTGAGGCAAGAGAATCATTTAAACCTAAGAGTTGAAGGTTGCCATGAGCTGTGATAGTACAACATTCTACAGAGGGCGACATAGCGAGACTCTGTCTTAAAAAAAAAAAAAATTAGTGGGTGATAGCATCTGTGATTAACATTTTGATTTGAAACATTTCTCAATGTTTTAAGAGAAACATTCAGCAAACCTTCATTTTCCACTATCTACCCCTCAGGAAATTTTAATGGAACATTAGAAATTAATTTGCTGAAGAACAAAATTTTTACAATTCAAATAAGTATGCATGTATATGTAGATACACAGACATATCTTTTTACTAATTATAGAAAAAGGAACATGTTAGGCAACTTATCACAATACATTCCATCTACTTTCACAAAAAATAATTTTCAATGTAGATTGTCCTCTTCATTCATATAATTTAACAAAATCAGTTTTGTCATGAATTAAAGTGCCAGATAAAATAGTTTATGATCAAGGGTTTTCTTGTTATACTGAAAAGTTTTGTAATTTGAAATAATTATACTGTAAATATCAAAAATAACTATTCCGGGAGTAGGACGTTTGTAACAAAGGATGGAAACATCAAAAAATACAATCTCACAGTAGAAATGTGTATCTTTATCTTGCTCTTACTATAAAATTATTTTAGACATTCTGAACAGAATGTGTTCCTAGGGAAAGGAAACAATTTTCAGCATTAGAAATCTGGCCAGGTGTGGCAGCTTATGCCTAAAGTCCCTTGGAGGCCAGGTGGGAAGATCACTTGAGGGCAAGAGTTTGAGACCAGCCTGTGCAATACAGTGAGAGCCTGTCTCTTAAAATTAAAAATAAATCAGGTAGGCATGGTGGTGTGTACCTTTAATTCTAGTTATTTGGGAGGCTGCACCAGAAGGATTGCTTCAGCCCAGGAGTTCAAGGCTGCCGTGAGCTATGATTATGCTAGTGTACCCCAGCCTGGGTAGTAGAGGAAGACCCTATCTCTAAAATGAAAGTTTGTTCCAATAGATAGAAAAGGTGTGAATAAAAAATTTGCATCAGCATACACATGTGGATCATTCATTTTTTTTTTTTTTTT